CAGGGCAGCACAAAGCTTACAGCAGCAAGCAACTTTCCTGTTTGGCCCCACTCTGTCCTGCATTGCCAGGTTGCACCCATTGGACTGCAGAGGCCCTGGGGGAGGGGCAGCAGGGCAGGAGCCCAACCCTACCGTGGGCAGCCCTCCCCTGCCCCATGCACAGATCTGGAGAGCACAAGTCCCCTAGGAGCATGCACAGCGGTGGGGAGCTGGCCCCACCCACCTGAGCCTGCAGCAGGCAGGCAGCAGGGGCAGAGCTGGGCTCTGCTCCATTGCAGCAGCTGCCACTTCCTGCCAGGGGCAAGGGTCTGTGGGCCCCCTCTGGCAGGGCTGGGGGGGCAGGGGGCTGTAGGTGGGGGGCAATGGACACCAGTAGGGCTGGGGGGCTGGCAGGGAGAGTGACAGGCACAAGCAAGGCTGGTGGGCTCAGGCAGGGAGTGAGGGGCATGAGTAGAGCCGGAGGGGGGCGGGGAAGTGAGGGGGCTTTAAATCACAGATTTTGGGGGGGTTTATCAGAGAATTTGAAATTTTTTATGAGAATTTGAGGGTGGGGGGGTTTAATCAGGGAAATCCAGGATACCTTCTGATAAAAGTCAGTGAAAGAGAAGCTGTAGGAATGCCATTATACTAAAGTATTATATAATCTTGACAGAAGTGAGCCTTTTGTGGAGGTATTAGCTATTAATTTAATGTTCAATTAATGTACAGTGCTTTAAGTTTTGCAAAAATTATCTTTGTCTTAGTAGAATGTTTTGTATGATGGGTGAGTACGGCATCATGAGGCTTTTCACTACCACCTTCATAAGGACAGACTGATACATTAATGTAAGAGTTTTGCAAGACTATAGTGTACTTTTGTAACTTTAAATAGTGCTTATTAATCTTTTCAGAATAAGTAAACAGATTCTGCAAGCCTCTGTTAAATTGTTATTAATAAATTGTTCTTTTTCCTATACAGATTCCACTGAGTAAATTATAATTGTAATAACTAACATGCTCCCCAAGTTAATCTTTATATAATTTTTTTTAATTTAAAAGATTAAATTATCTCAATTTGTGCCCAATAAAATACAAAAGCCATCTTTGCTAGGCTGAGTCAGTAATCTTGATAGTAAAATATCTGCATGAGGTAGTAAAATAACTGCATGTCTGCAGTTATTTCCCTTAATGACAGTTTTAAATGACTCTGACATCATTTTGAAAGTGTATCAAAGTTATGTCTTTGATATGTCTAAATTACAGGTAAATGAAAACAAACACACTGGAGCAAATTCAGTCCTACTGTAACTTTACTGACTGCAGTGTTACACCAGCGATGAATTAAGGCTGTATTTCAAAGTAGCTTTCATTCTTCTGATTTTTCCAAAACACAGTCTTTGCAGGAGCAGAGACAAGTGCAGGCAAGTACCTTGCCAATAAGTGAGTTCACAGGAATTGTTACAAGCAACTAAACTGTCAACAGAAAAAGACCAACAATTTGAATTAAGTACAAATACAGGACAACCAATGCCCTCTAATGGTCTGCAGGTTTTAGTATGTGCTAGAACAACAGACATTTGTGATGCTTAATTTATGGGATGGGAAATAAGTCCAGCAGAGTTGCACTTCTTGTTACCAATCATATCTGAATTTATCAATAACATTTTTTTAATGCAATGAAAGATGATGTCAAAATCCTTCCTACACTAATCCTGAAAAGCAAATTTAAGCTACACAATATAAAAGAGTAGCCTATCTTTTCTATGGTCTTTATTCAACCATTTCCTCAAAGAGGGTTGAAAAGGTACTTATCAGTTTGCAGGATAAGTTTTCCTGAACTAAGTTTTTTAGTCACTTCCATTTTTTACCCGCAGCTATTGCATCAATAATACCACAGTAAAGATCAAAAAGATGGCCAAAGAATGGAGAAAAACCAAAAAATGGAGGGCACAAGCAAGTCACAGAAATTGAAGGCATAACAGAACATATCATTATGCCTGTGGATCTACAAGTTCCTTTTTCCATGGGCTCACTGAGTCTGCAGCAGTAGAAGGCCACCCACCCCAAACCACAACATTCCTGAAAAACTCCTTTGCAAGAGACAATGGCTAGAGAACTTCTTTTGCCCTTCTGTTTTGGTCTTGCAGGTTACTTTTATGGAAGGCTGAAGCTGACAGAAAATTGAGTTAAAAGAACTAGAATTGAGATATCAGCTAATGGCTCCACTTTTTCCTCCCCTCCAAAAATATTACATGGTGTGAAACAGTCAAATTAAAAATCAAATTTAAAAATAACTAAATCCAACTAACAAATAAACTACAGACACTCCTCTATACCACAGGTTTAAAGACCACATATTACCCCTTGTAAGTATACTTTTGGCATTTTAAAAAGCCCAGGAATGCCTGCACGCACCCCTAAAATAAAATAAGTAAGCAGGCAGCCCACACCCAACCAGATCTTTTAGATAATCACAAAGGAATACCGAAGGAATTCTGCTAATATTACAATATATGTTAAATCTGTGGTAGATGTTTAAAACTTCCACAAGAACAAATTCTTCTCTCTTTCAAATATCTTTTTGTGAAAGAAAAAAAACACAGTTGCCTAACTTCACTCATATTCAGTAATCATGACATTTGTCCATACAGCAAATCATATTTGTTCTAGTGTCTATATTTAAAGGTAATTTCAGTCAGAAAATGAAATGGTGCTATCTTGACCTTTTGTCTTACATGGTTTATGAATTACTGACACATTACAATATCCCCCAACTCTGCAGAAGCTTTGAAATATTGCAAAGTCTCTCCTGTAAGGGAAATAAACTTGGTATGCCACTAAAAGGCATTAAATTATTTTCATTATGCCACACAGAATCTAAAACACTTACACTGTTTTGATTTCAAAATCCTTGGAGAACAATTATGCTCTTAGGGCCATAAGACTCTATTATAAAGTCCTCAGAAACCTAGCATGGTTTCAATAAATCCTCAAACACTACAAAGCAGTTACTCAGCTTGAAGAATGAAACATGAGTTCATCCACTAAAAAGTCAGGATGTAAATTCTCCTAATACAGTATTCCATATTTCCTTACATATTTCTTTTTTTTTTAAATAACAGCAACACTTTAAATCAAAGTTATAGTTCAATATATGCACTTAAGTTAGTTACTAAATAGATATTAATAATATTTTGGCCAGGTTTTGTAGTATTTAAGGTACTTATTGGCAATTAAATATGCATATGTAGACAGTTTTTAAAAATTAGACTGTAATGATCATCTGGCATTTAAGATTCAGAACAGTAGTCCCATTAAAACTACATCACGGATTGGTAAAAGATTAAACCCTTGAACGCATACATGTGTGGATTTTCATTAAATAAATCACATCACAAATACAGTATTTCATGCAGAAAAGGATCTCCAAATTAAAAAATACATATTAGAGGTTATTATTGTAGATTAACTATGGATTTAGGGAGCTTGATTTTTAAAAACTGTGCCAACATTGTTTTTGCCTGATGAGAGCCCATGTAGTAGTATAGTCTTTAACCGTAAATATATAATAAATATGTTTGTATGTACATTTCTAAGTCCTCCTAGAAAGAGCACAACCTTCTAATTAAACTAATTTTCTTCTCTTTCTAAAGAGAAAGAGCAAAAGGCATTACAATCAAAACAGACAGAAATCAGAGGGAAGGAGGGCACAAGAGAAACTATATTCTCCGATATGAAAAAAAAAAAAAATCCAGCAGGAAACCAGGGCCTAGTAACTTTCTGCCAACAGCAGCTGAGATGCTTCATCACAACTCTATTTTTCCAGACATTATGTTTCATTTGGCTGCAAGGGTCACATGACAGCTGCAAACTAACGCCTTAAGGTTTGTTTCTGCCTCTCTGTGACATTGACAGGCTGTGAGAGACTCCAACACCACAGAAAGAAAAAAAAATGTCCTTGTTTCCATTACATCATCCAACCAGTACTGGGGGAGGGGGCACAGCTGGTGGCAGCTGCAGTACCATCTGCTTTCTCCTTACAGTGCCTGCTAGTTTGTTCTGTAGATTTCTACTAATCTTTATGGAGAAGGGACCATGTTAAAGACACAACACCCCATTATGTGAAATAGTATTTGTTTCACTATTGAGGAACAGTTAGTCTAACAGCCAGCAAAGATGCATCAGGTAGATTCCTGATTATTGTTAACCATAACAGTAAAAAAAAAAAAAAACCAGTCACCAAAGCACTCCGTGATTAGTGGGAACTTAGAGAGCATAGGAACAACCCACCATCTGCCTTTCACAATGTAAGGAGCCAAAATAAAACTCTGGAGTCAGCAATATTTACAGAAATTAAAAGAAAGGCAACATAAGCCTCCAAAGTTAGAGATTAGCTGAAGTAAACTGGGAAGACAAAAACTAAACACTCTTGGAATAATATGCATAGACATCTGTATTCTTTAATGAAGTATATATTTATGAAATGCTGTCAGCACATCACATAATTTATAGTAGTTCACACTGAGAAAAGAAAAAGAATGAGCTTGCATAGCTCACTGAGAGGATTCTGGAAGTGACAAGAACTTTATCACTTCTGTATTAAAGCACAGTATATTATATCATGCAATCACTTGAACTGCATTTCCAATTTCTCGTTCAAGTCGCTGTTATTTTTTTCATCAAAAATGAAGGCCGCTTACATATCTCTCTATGTCCACAAGGAATACACTTTTAAAACCTTATTTTACATATTTAGCCACATGCTAGTGCTTGTTAAAAGTACAATTCTGCAACTGCATAGCTTCAGTCAGTTACTTACTATGAGTTCTTATGTGACCAGTGTAACTAAATGTGCTAGAGTCAGAGTGAAAATGGGGAGAAAATCCTTTAACTTCACAGAGTTCCTCCAGATTTATACCAGTAAAACTGTGATCAGAATCTGGCCTTTAGTCTAAATACAGGTCTGGCTGTGTGCATCTCACTAGACATTAATTTCAAAAGATTAAATCCACACTACTTACCATACATTTTGCCTTCATCTGATAAGATTATTTTCCTCCTCCCACATGGTGGATAGATAGCTAGAGCCTCCTGAAAGCTCTGTTCAATGTCAGGGCTCCAGACACCTTCTGCATCATTGTCAATAGGTTTATCTGCAGAATCACTCATTCTTTCAATGTCTTCGGCAGGGCTCTCGCTGCCGCTCCAGCTGCTGGGCTCAATGATGATGGCTGGGGTCTCCAAGCCTAAGCCTGGAGTCTTAAAGAAAATAAACCTAAAAGAAAAAAACCCAACAATATATATTAAAGACATGGAATTTGACATGAACTGTCCTTGGCTACTCCTAATTCTAAATCGACATGACACAACTTCCAATGACAGACAATTCAGACAAGTGTGGACGTTTGGTTCCCCAAGGACAAGTAACAGCAGGACACCTTGTGCCACTGCTAACTGCCCCTAGGGAACACCTGTGCTACACACCCTCTGGCACATGGCAGGCTACCCGAGCTGGGGTAGGGGAGACTGGAACCAACACAGTTGCTGGCCCCAGCAGCCTTACCTAGGATCCTGGGGGCTGGGAAAAGCTACAACCATGTCACTCCTGCAGGTTGCAGCCTGGCCAGCAGCCAGAGCATGGCTCTGTCCCCATGTACACTGCCCTGCTTCATGGGTTTTTTTGACCCATGGATCTCCAGGGTCAGAAAAAAACCCTGCACTGCAAGTTGTAGTGCAGGAAATGCCTGAATGTGTGGTACGTGGTGCCACAGAGAGGTCTGCAGTGACACATACTACAGTTGTGTTCATCTGGACATGGGCAACGGGTGCATCTACACACAAGTTTACTGCAGAGCTGACTAATTAATTCTGCAGTAAAGCGTCACTGTCTACATGTGCACCGGTATTAAGGCACAGTAAATTCACTCCACTGTAAGATAGCACAGTTGCAGATAGTACTATCTTACCGCAGAGTAATTAAGTGCAATGAAATGCACAAGTAGGTGGTGACAGGGACTGGCTAGAGCACAAAGGCACTAAAATGCGGAGGCTTCCTGCCGCATGGCTCCACACTTTAGCACTTTTGTGCCCCAGCAAGCCCCTCCACCACCCAATGCTGCCTCCAGAAGCCTGGGGCTGTTCCCCCCCTCCCAGCCTGCTGCTCAGCCCCAGCCTAAGCTGCTGCTGCCCTAAACACACGTGCAGACACTGCACCCAGAAGCAGCTGACTCTGGCTTGAATTGCTCCACAGTTTACTGTGTCACATTAATTTCATGTGTAGATGCACCCAACGTGAATTTACTACTGAGATTATTGAGTTTGTAAAAACCAACAGAAAGTAAAATGCACATTTCAATTCCACCCTGGAACACATGTAGAGAGATTATTTTGCAATGGGAGCTATTAATTCATTTTCTGCATGCCTCTGTACACAAGCAACAGGTTATTTGTTTTTATTTATTTATTCTACAGCTAATGAAATATGGGAAAAATAGTATTGGGAAAAATATTTAACTAAATGCAATGTACTTCATTTTGTTTACCACTAATAATTTTAAAATCTAGGGGAGCATTCTCACCTGGTGTAAACTGGTGTCACTGCACTGACTTCAGTGTAAGCATGTCACCTTAAACCAGTGAGAAACTGGCGCCACTAACTCTTAAAGAACAAATGGGTTAAATTAAAACAGAAATAATACTATTGTTCCCATTCATTCCAGATGTCAGTGGAGTCAAAGGAACTACTCCAGAGATTAAATTCAGTCCACTGTGTTTAAGTGGGAAATACAGCAATATTTAGGTCTTACCCAAATGCATAACATTCAGAGGTTGAGCTATATATAAGGTGAAACTTTTAAAATAATAATGCCAGTGAAGGGAATGATAAGAGAAGATATTATACATTTAATCTACGTTTTAAAAGGTCTTTGCCACATAACTACAACAGAACAAAGATTACAAGCTTCAAGTTGCTGAATCAATTTCATAAGAAATAATTTAATACAACAGCACCTGCTCACACCAGTACGGCTACAGATCTGTCAGTGTTCCTTTTATATTTCTGAGAGAAATACAACTCTGCTATAAAGGTTTGCTCCAGGCTAAAATCTGCCATGCCAGACCAAATCCATCCCTGGTGTAACTCTGTGCAAGTCAATGAAGTAACTCCAGGAATAAATTTGCCTCCGCACATTCAGGTATATTACATTTTTTCATACCAGAAAAGGAACAAGAGACAAACAACCCAAAAAGAATTTAGGTGGCTAAGGTGGGGGTTAAAAAAAAAAAAAAAATCAGTGAG